GACGTCACAAAAAGTTTCGCCGCCGCCTCTGAGTTCGTTCAACGGGTTGATGACGTCCCATTTGGCCTATATTTTAGTAGATATGAGTTTTAAGTTCTTCTCTTTTTCCCGGTGTAGCCCACATGTCATCATTGTCTCGGGTAGGGTCACCGGAGACACCTGACTGCGTTCCAAGGGACCAATCAATCTAGTACTTCACCATCACCAGATCTTGATATGAAAGCTTATAAGGAGGAAGTCGAGCATTTGAAAGCAATTGTTGAATCAATGAGTAAGATTTGTCTCAATACTATTGGTCATGTGTGTCAAGGTATTTTGATTCTTGATTCAAGAGCAACTGATCATATGACACCTTTGTATGTCCTTCAACTCATAGTAAAAGAAATAGAGAACAACTTATTACAATTGCGAATAATCAGGGTATACCTATATGCGGCTCTGGGAATATGTTAGGTTTCTTTATTCAAGAAACCTGGTTGATCCCTCTCTTCTCAGCAAAACACACACACAACATAATTGAATGTATAAGTATATGTATTATTGATCATGACTTAATGGAAAATACAAGTATTCACCCCCTCAAGGAAGCATGACTCCCTCCACTGGAACAGAGATCCAGCCTATACCCAAAAGTAAAAATGAATAATCCCCTCACCTCAGCAAACTAAATTTTATTTATACTCTCTCTCTCTACTAAATAACTAACCACTTTTCCCGCCTTTAGTTCCCTCCTCTTTTATTTCTTCTCTCATATACTTTTAATCTCCTAACATTACCCTCCTCCCCAACATCAACCTTGTCCTCAAGGTTGAAATCAGGAACTATTGGTTGATATATTGCTCCTCTTCACAAGTAGCACCCTCCAATCCGCCTTCCTGCCATTGTATCAGAACTTGGGGTATCTCCTCCCCTTGTTGTTGCTTGTTTCGCCTCTGTAGCACTTTCACTACTCTATATAGGGGTTTGTCATCCTGCAATTCCACAGGTAATGCTCTTCCAACAGAATGTGCGCCTATGGCTATTTTCAGCTGGGAAACATGGAATATTCAGTGTATTCTCGTTGTTTCTGCTGCAACCGAAAAGCTACCGGCACAACTTGTTTTTCCACTAGGAATGGCCCGTAATACCATGCTAATAGCTTAGGATGTAGTCTAGTAGGCATAGACATTTGTCTATGAGGTCTAATTTTAAGGAAGACCCAATCTCCCTCCTTAATCTTGGCTTCCACCCTCTTCTTGTTAGCATAGTAGGTCATCTGGTATTGGGCTCTGGCCAGATGAAACCTCAATTGCTTCAAAGCTTCATCTCGGGTTTGTAAGTCCTGAGCAACTGCAGTCAGTGTTGGAGGTGGTCTTCCATAGACTGTCTCAAAGGGGAGTGTGCACTTAAAGGCCCCCTGGTAACTGGTATTGTACCAGTATTCTGCCCATAGCAACACTGAACTCCAACTCTTTGGTTGTTATGAACTAAAACAGCGCAAATATGTCCCCAACACTCTATTTAAAACTTTAGTTTGTCCATCAGTTTTTGGGTGAAAGGTTGTGCTCATCCGGAGTTGTGTTCCTTGCAACCGAAAAATCCCCTTCCAAAACACGCTCAGAAAAGTGGAGTCTTTGTCACTTACTATAGTCATTGGTATCCCATGGAGTCTAATCACTTCCTTCACAAAAATTTCAGCTACGGTCTTTGTGGTATATGGGTGCCTAATGGGATAAAATGCCCATACTTGCTAAGTCTATCCACCACCACCAATATAGTGTCGTAGCCGTGAGACTTAGGCAATTTCACCACAAAGTCCATACTAATTTCCTCCCATATCGCCTTAGGAATGGGTAATGGTTGCAGAAGGCCTTGGGGAGATGATGCCAAATATTTATTCTACTGGCAGACCAAATACGCAGCCACATAATCTGTTATCGTTTTCTTCATTTCCACCCAATGTAGAGATTGAGCCAGCCTTCTATAGGTCCTATAGACTCCAGAGTGCCCTCCTGTTCCTGTGATATGGAATTCTGCTAACAGCCAAGGTATCCAAGCAGACTGAGCAAAGAGAACCAGCCTCCCCTTATAATGCAATCTTCCATTCTCCATGGTATATGCAGTGTGGGAACAGGGATCTGCCCTCACTTCCTCCACAATCTTCTTCAAACTCTCATCATTCTCAACCTCCTCAACTATCTCCTTGAATTCAAACCAATATGGCCTAGAGATCATCTACAGAACCTTGTCTCCTTCCTCCCATTCTTCCCCCTTCCTTGAAAGCCCATCAGCCACTCAATTAGATGCCCCCGTCCGGTAAGTTATATCAAACTCGTACCCAAGTAGTTTAGCTAGCCAATTTTACTGGTTTTGGGTAGTAATGCGTTGCTCCAGCAAATATCTCAAGCTTCTTTGATCCGTATACACAACAAATCTCTGGCCCATAGGTATGGCCGTCAGTGTTGGATGGCTAACACAAGAGCCATCAATTCTTTCTCATATACTGACTTAGTAAGGGAAGACTAAAGTAAGCTATTGGCCTCTTGTTTTGTGATAGAACCGCCCCCACTTCAGTTCCAGACGCGTCACATTCAACGTAGAAAGTTTGGGAGAAATTTGGTATTGCCAGCACTGGGGCTATAGTGACAGCTTCTTTGAGCTTCTGCATAGCTTCAACTCCTGTGATAGACCACTGGAACATCCCCTTTTTAAGTAGATCAGTAAGAGGCCTAGCCATCCTCCCATAATCTCTAATGAACCTCCGATAGTAAACCGTGAGCCCAGGAAACCACGCAACTCTTTGATGTTTCTGGCTCAGGCTAATCCACTATAGCTGCAATTTTTTCTTCATCCATCTCCACCCCTGCTTCAGATATTTTATGTCCCAAATATCTAACTTGCCTTCTGCCAAATTCACACTTTTTTTCCATTGGCAAAGAGTTTCTGTTTGGCTAACACTCCCAAGACCTGCGTGAGATGTTGTGTGTGCTCCTCCCATGTCTTACTGTAAACAAGTATCTCATCAAAGAATACCAATACACAACTCCTCCAAAAAGGCCTTAAGACAGAATTCATCATATCTTGAAAACTATCTGGGGCATTTGTTAGCCCAAAAGACATAACAAGAAATTCATAATGCCCTTGATGAGTCCTGAATGCAGTCTTAGTGGCAAAAGGCTATACCCAAACTAATGGGATTGACTATGAGGAGATGTTTGCCCTAGTGGCAAAGATGAATAAAGTTTGAGTTGTTCTCACTTTGGCTGCTCATTTTGGTTGGGACTTACACCAGTTGGATGTGAAGAATGCCTTTTTTCATGGAAATCTAGAAGAGGAAGTGTACATGGATATTTCCCCAAGTTTTGAAGTGAAAAATGAAAGAAACGCGGAATGTCTCCTAAAGAAAGCATTGTATGATCTTATGCAATCTCCTAAAGCATGGTTTGGAAGATTTACAAAAGCAATGGTTTCCTTGGGATACGGATAAAGCCAAGGAGATCATACTCTATTCATAAAACATTCTTCTACAGGTAAACTCACTCTATTGCTTGTTTGTGTGGATGATATGATTATTGCAAGAGATGATGAAGCAAAAGAATTGGCAGCCCAATTTGAAATGAAAGACTTAGCAAAACTCAAATCTTTTCTTGGAACAGAGGTTGCTTACTCCAAGAACGGAATTTTCATCTCCCAAAGGAAGTATGCACTTGATCTCCTCAAAGAAACAAAAAAGATGGGATGTAGAACCTCAACAATTCCTATAGAACAAAAGCACAAAATTGGAAGTGAAGAAAGTGTTCCTGTAAAGAAGGCCCAATATCAGAGATTGGTATGAAAATTGATTTATCTATCACACACAAGACCAGACATTGCTTATGCCGTCAGTGTAATGAGCCAATTTATGCATGATCCAAGAGAGAGACACATGCAAGCAATTGTCAAAATTCTCCAGTACTTGAAGTCAAGTCCAAGAAAAGGGCTATTGTTCAAAAGGGAAAACACATTGACTATGAAAATATATATTGATGCTGACTATGCAGGTTCTATTACTAAAAGAAAATCTACTTTTGGGTATTGTATGTTTCTTGGAGATAGTTTGGTAACGTGGAAGAACAAAAAGTAAGATAGAGTATCACGTTCTAGTGCAGAAGGTTAACTCCAAGCTCTTGCTAGAGGAATGTGTGACAGACTCTCGATAAAAATCATTTTGGATGACCTTAAAGTCAAGGTGGACAACCCCATGCAATTATACTTTGACAATAAGTTTGTCATGAGTATTGCCCATAATCCATTACATGACAGGACCAAACACATTAAGTTTGACAGATATTTCATTTCATCCAAGATAATCTAAACAGAGGCTTTATGATTACAATTCATGTTACTACAGAACTTCAAATAGTAGATATTTTTACAAAAGGGATCCCTCAGGATACATTTCATGATCTTATAGGCAAGTTGAAAATGAATGATATTCATTTACCAACTTGAGAGGGAGTGAGCTACATGTGCTGATATTGGTGGTGGTGCATGACAATGGTCAGTGAAGCGATTGTTGACCTAGCTGTCACCAGTGTGGGTACACCTTTCTTGACCACCCCCACCTCAAAGGGCAAGGACAGCAACAGCTGTTTACGTGGCAGCAGAAATAGAGCTCCCAACATCAGGAGCTTTGTTACCAACTTAAACTATGCAAGGAAATAGAATGATTTTATTGATAACAATCACACAAATTACATTTTCACCACCTTTATTTACAACAATCAAACATTCAAAAGTAAAGAAATAAAAATATGCTGAAATGAATAGGAAGATTCTAAAGATATTTTTCTCCTAATTACTATGAAGATATTGAGGATATTTTTATCCCAATAATCCTCTATTTACAACAGCTTATATTCAAAACACAGGAATATAAAAGATCATTTAATATTCAAGTGGAAGAATGAAGTAATTATCTATGATAAAACAACGTTGAAATTAGTTACAGTAATGCCTGAGACAAATGTAAATCAACTCACACTGTGGCATCTTCTCCAGACATGCTGCCAAAGATTTTTAAGTTCATTCCTCCGAATAGGTTTCACTAAAAAGTCAACAGCACCTTTTGACAAACACTTAAAGACGATACCCATAGAATCATGAGACGACATCACTGCATGCATTTGAACACGTGCAATTAAAGAAACAACACATGAGCAATAATCATTGAAAATATATTATTAAATTTGTGACAAAGTATAACTTTGGTACACCACTTACTAATCACAGGGATATTCTTCAGTGTTTTGTGGTTCATGATCTTGCACAAAAGACCTATTCCAGACAAAATTGGCATAGCTACCTCTGTTAAGACCAGACCGATGCAATTTTCTGGATTTTCTAGGACTTTCCAGGCTTGAAGACCATTGGAAACAGCAGTAACTGTAATAGATGAAGAACATGGATTTTATGATTTTGGTGTTTGTTGTTTGAGCTCCTACATCTAGAGAAACAATTTGGTTCATATTAAAATAAAATAAATATAACGACACATTAAAGTCACCCCAGGCCCAAAATCTGACTATTAACAGTTTTGAACGCAAAAAGATTGTAATTATCATCAGCGCTGGAAACTAGGAAGCATCATCCTCACCTTTCAGCTTAACATTTAACCTCAACACAGGATCATTCCCTTCGTATATAAGCTATCTATCACGATAAAATATGCAAGAATATATATCTCAAAATAACCACAGAACATATTAAAATACATTAACTGAAAGGTTGTATACCAATGTTGGGACCCCTTGAGTGGATAAGTGGCCAAGAATCATTCAACGGTAAGAATAAAGCAAGACTGTATAATAAATGCATAAAACATAAAACCTATAAGAAAGTTTAAACTTAATGACTTTGGATATATCAAAAACCATACTTTGTATGTGTACGTATGTATGTATATGTGTGTTTATACACGTTGATACAAATGCATTCAAGATACAATCATAAATACAAAAATCTTACAATTCATGATTTGAAATGTACAATATGATTCAACAAGCTATCAATTCATAGCATAAGATGAATCTAGAATGACTTTAAATCTTACAATACATGAATAAATTGGTTCAATTTCATATCATTGATCCAAATCACATGATTAAAAAAAAAATTCCTTTACCAACTTCTTTTTCACTAATTCTCAAGAAATAAACCGAAACTTCGTATATGCTAAAATTGTTAAACGAAAAGGAATCTCGAAGAAGCAAACGTGAACTTATTTTATTTGATTACTGAGTTACTTTATTTTTCACTCACTCATGCAATGCGTGGACTCTATTTGGATTTCATTGATTTGTTTCCATTCTTCCAAAATAGAGAATTCACAAACACAAATTTAACTATACTTTCATTTAGTAAAACCTATAGTTAAGTTGTTTTATCTGTTTTTACTTTAAAAGTATCATATTGAACACTATATATCATCTATATGGTGCTTAAAAGGTTAGTTTTTCTTGCTAGTGAATCTTACAATTCAGTCCATATTATAACAAAATATTAGCTTAGCAAAAAATATTTGAATCTTAGGTTATAATCTTGTTACTAAGGCATAACTGACCACAAAGATAGCATAAATACCTTCGTAACTACAATTGCATAAAAGAGCACGCACAACGTGGCGTGTTGAATCATCATCTTCCACCAGCAAAACTTTTATTGATCTCACAGGGAGAAATCTCTCCCAGCAAATGACTGGCCCTTGAGGTGGTTGCTGTGAAACCTGCAAGCTCCCATTGATTTGAATCAGACCCTTCAATCCATTGTTTCCATCTTGACTCAGCTTATTAAATCTTGGGTCATCTTCTGTTGATGATCCAGAACTTACCCCTCCATTGGCTACTCCAAAATTGAGGCTCTTTTTGTCAAAAATCATATGATTACGTTCTGCCAAACCTCTTTTCCCTTTCCCAACATTATTGTTCATTGGACCAGCCTATATCAACCACACTGAAAAAACATTGTGAGGAATTAACACACAAATGCAACACCCTCGTCAGGTGAGTCATGGATTCCCCACATCTCAAGCACTTCAACTATCAATTTCTGCAAATAACAACCCTATCCATCAGTCAAGTCAGTACTTTTATGATACTTTTATAATAACTCTGAAAGAAACAAAAAAAATACCCTATACCTGAGCATACTCCACAGGCCAAAACAAATTTATACCCACACAAATATCATGGGAGTAAATCAGAATTTGCATACGGTAATTGTTAACAGACTTTACATGACAAAAACCTACACTTCGTAATAAAAGCAAAGTTGTGATTCAAAAAGTTAAGATAGAAAAATATAGATCCATACCTCCAAACTCCAGCCCCCAGACAGAAATCAAAAGCTCAAAAACAAAAATTCATATCAAATTTCATGAAAAGGAACGACAACCTGTTCCTGCATCAAAGAACTCTTAAAGCTTTTGTCTCAGCACAAGGTAAACTTCCCATTCATACCGATATCCTGTTAAATTAATATAATAAGTAAACTTACTTAACAGCCCTATTCCTTACATAAATAGAGACAGTTCACAGATTATTTTACATGGAGATTCCAGCAGACTTCAGAAACTCGAATAGTTAGTGGCTTATTTAATACGACAACATAAAACAAACAAAGTCCAAAACTACAACCTAAATATCCTCTTTGTTTACTTTCTTTTTTTAAAAGTGACTTCCATCCAATTTGCATATCACCGGATAGATGCACTCTTTTTATTTACTATAAATTTGATGCCAAAATTATAATTACACTGAAACGCACCGTAGATTCTTTTACACGAATATATTAGCTCGGACCTCATAAATTAGGGAAGGAAACCAAATTCAAACTTAAAAAGGTTAATGTCTCTTACAAATATAGCAATGAAGCTTTTACTTATCCAAACCAAACAAAACACAGAAGAAAAAAAAATCCATAAAGCACAATCTAAAACCGCGTTTTCAAGCGCTTATTTTATGTTAAGTAAACCCAAAAAAGTAAAAGAGGCGCAAAAATTAAAAACACCAAATTCACAGGACCACGAAACCAACCTTCAGAGCTTCACTGACAAGAACCAGACCTCCATTTGCAAGCTCGATGCAGCAACTTGGAAAAAACAATCCAACACCAAAAAAATCAAAAATCGTAACAGTCAGAGCACCAATCTCGTTTCGAAATTAGAGCAAAACAAAAATCACAACAGCAAAAAATTAAATAAATAAGTCACAATCAAAGAAAGAAACTCGGCAACTCAGGAAACAAGGTTCTAACATTTCTCCCAAAGCTTTTCTTTTCTTTCCGTTTCGAATTCGGCGAAAAACGATTTTCTATGGAAACCACTTGACTGGCAGAGAAATAGCGAAGCCAAAAGGTTAAGAGAGAGTGGGGAGAAGATATTATTCTGAGCACGCTGACGTGTACAAAATGAAGGCGTGAATGGCTCGGAACTCCACGTAGGACGCTGGGCCCGCGTGACGTGGCGCGTTGTTGACGAGTTGATTGCGTGACGTGGACAAAATCAAAAGCCGCGAGGTTATGTGCACCCCTCCGAATCTAATACGATCTTCTAGATCTGGATCCCACCACGTGGCTCACTCGCCTCGCGTATAAAGGTTCTCCCCTCAAACCCACAAGCCCCGAAACGCTGTCGTTTACTTCACACACCGTACCACTCTGGTAAGTGCCTTCCTTCAAATGCCCCTACTTTTTTTCAAAATCTCATCTTTTTTATATTTCAAATTATCCATTCAGCACATGATTAGGTCATTATCCATTCAACACATGATTAGTTCACTCTTGTAATAATTATTTTATTTTTTATAAAATATTAATAATATTAAAATTAAATATATTTTTAGTCTTTATATATAATTTCATCTTTATTTTAAACTTTCACACTATAATAAAAAAATTAACTTCTTTAGATTGAAAAACTATATCAATCTCTTTTTAAAAGTTTGAAGACCTATTAAAATTTGAAAAAAAAAATCACATTATCAGGCTTAAGAACTAAAAAAAAAATTTATTTTATTATTGAATATTAGCTTCATGCTGTTGGAGAATTTTTGTCCATTCTATATTAGTTAATTGTATATAAAACTATGGTGTTGCTTGCAAAGTTCTTTTTATTGAATATTTGAATGGTTGGATTGAAACATAATTATGTTTGGTAATTTAAGTGATTTATAAAAGAAAAAAACAATGATTGTAGGAGATGAGAAAAATGACAGAGGCAGTTGTAAGACCTATAAAAAAAATATCTATCTTAATAGTAATAATTTTATTACTAATAAGTTTATCTAAACATAAAATGTGGAAAGCTAAATAATAAATTTTGGTACCTTAAATGGTAGAAAATTGTGGTGATTTCAAGAACATGGGTTCAAACTCTTTTCTACCTTTTTGTTTAAAAAAAAACAAATGGACAAATAAACTTTCGGTGATTGAAATAGCAAAACACCAAAATATCTTTCAGTGATTGAAATGATAAAAATATATATATATATATATATATATATAATAATAATAATAATAATAATAATAATAATAAACACCAAATAGTACCAAAATCTTGGCCTATAAATACCAAGCAAGGGGGAGGGGGATTTTGCACCAAGAAGTAGAGAGAAATCAAAAGATTAGGAAGAATTTAGAGTAAGAAGGATTTTAGTGTGAAGATTCTGGAAGTTTTCCGGGAACAACCTCTGATCAAGAAACCAAGTCTGGAATAGAGTTAGGGGAGCTAACTTTCTAAGCTTTTATATTATGATTTAGTATTATTTTATTACTATTTATGTCTTGAAATTTTGTGTGAATACTATTAAAGAAAAACATATGTGCTTGTTATATATCTATCAATATTGAATTTCTGTGTTAATATTATATGTTATTGTTTTGAATCTGTAAATAAGAAATTTGTTTAAAACTAGTTGAGGAACAATTTGGCTAAGGAAAGACTTGGTACTTAAGTTGTCCATTGTGACGCACCTCTCTTTCCTGGAAGTCTACTCGACAAGTTTTTAACTTAAATCTTATTGAACAGATTATGTACGGTTAAATTATTGTGCAATATATCTTGTTGGAATGAAAATTTATAATGAATTCATGTTATTGTGGTGGATATGGAATTATGAATTTGAGCATGGTATGAGTTGATGAATATGAACATGACATGAGTCTCGTGGAGAGATTCTGTAATGATATGGTATTAGTGTATATGTTGATGTTGAGGGTCCTGTTGTTGGAGGTTATCCTGATACTCTAATAATCATCCAGTCTCAAGTAGAGAAGGATGAATTATGTTGTGAGAGGGGCAGGAGGTCCTGGTCTATGTGTCGGTTTTGGACATAGTGTTGAGGACTAATCTTGTGGATGGTGTGGAGTATTTTGGAAGTGTATTTGTAAGAAGAAGTAGAAGTCATCACAAGTGCATAACCTCCCGTGACCGCTCATCAACGTATCATCCGAATGAGTGTCTATTGGGTATTGTGGAATGAGTGTCTATTGGGTATTGTGGAATGAGTGTCTATTGAGTATTGTGGGATGAGTGTCTATTGGGTATTGTGGGATGAGTGTCTATTAGGGATTGTGGTATGATGGGATGAGTATCTATGGTGCGATTGTTGTACGATGGTATGAAGGTGTCTGACATAATTATTATATGATGTTTGTTGAGTGAATCAAAGTAATTATTCATGTTTTATAAATGATTTGTTGCATGTTAGCTCACCCTACTTGTTTGTGTTTGTGCGATGATCGTATAATTCGTTATACGGGAGCAGATGAAGGAATGTCGTCTAATTAAGTGAAAATGAAGAAAGAGATAGAAGAATAAATTAGAAGAATTCGAGTTATATTTATGAGTTTGTAGATGAAATCTGAGTTTAAAACATATATACATATCAACTATGAATTATAAAGTGTGAGATTATGGGATGTTACCTTAAATGTAATGCTACAATATATCAATTATGAATTATCAATTGGGAAATTATGGAATGTTACAGCAGTGATGTTACATTACTTTTACATTAGAGGAGGAGAATGAGAAGTACACATCTTTATTTATTCATATGGTCCTGAGGAATTTATCCCAGTGTTTGAAAGGAAGTTGCGTAGTTGAAATTCTCCTTTGAGGGAGTGTATGTTACTGTTTTATGTGTCAATTGCTACTGTCTGTGCGTTTGTTTTATCGTTATTTTATTGAATCTACATCGGTTTTTAAGGTTGGCATGACGATAATGTATGGCTGATGATTTTCTTTTACGGAAAAAGGATGTAAATTCTTCTACTAATTTTGGTGATACAAAATCAGGTTCAGTTTTTACAAGAAATAATGGAAAACTATTTCGGAAATAGTGTGTCAGACATGTCTATAAATTGTTTAGTCATGAATCACGTTCATTTAACATGTATTACAAGAATAAAATAATCATAAAAAATAAATTTTTGTATTTTTATAAAAAAGAAATGAAGTATAATATAAGAAAAACAATATTAAATAAATATTAAAAATTTATGTGTGTGAGATATCTCCTTCTACCAGTCATAAATGAGCTGTTAAGTATCATAATTTTTCTGATATAAGAGTTCATCAGATGACTGCACCAGCTGTTTATTTTACATCTCTGAAAATTCTTCGTATGTGTAAGCAAAAAGGAAGAGAATGATAATAAAAGATAAAGCTGATACGGTTATGTCGTGTTATGTGTGTGTGAAGTCAGACAATTCCATCCGATATTTCCAGTACGGCAATGCCAGTGGCTGAGAAAGAGGGAATCTTTTTCACAAACAGACATGAATTTTAACTAATTGAAAATGCTTGAAATTAAGGAAGAAAAAACATCACAACACAAGTTAGATATGAACTTAGTCTACGAGATAAAAAATAAAACATCACACAGTTAGGTATATCAAAGAGGAAGTTCATCAAGAAGATACAAACACCAATAAAACATGCGTTTAATCATATAAAAGATTAACAACACTTTCTATCTAAAACCTTAAAACAATGGATTAATAAGTTTTTCATCTTTATATAGTGTTATACTTTCTCATTTCTATGCAATGCGAAACTTTGACTCACACTTTGATTCCTAACAAACTTTGAATATGTGCATGTTTCACCGTTAACGGGTAATATTGAAGTTGTGAAAAATGATCAATTAACATAATGATGTAGATAATGGTGTAGATGAATAGATTAGAAACCTTAATGTTGTTTTTGGTGAGTAGTTTTGGAATCTAGAAAAGCTAATGCTGAAAAAGAAAAGGAGTGGAAAAAATAACTAGACTAGAGAAAAATCATGTTGGACCATATTTTTACCAGAATAGAATATACTGTTGTTCAACGATGTAACGAAACTTGAGAACCACGTATTTGCAGCAACTTTAAATAAGGGGAATCTAATTGTACTGGTGCATGACCACATCATGGATAAAGTTAGAAGCAACAAATAGTAAACAAACTTTAGATCTCACGCACGAGAAGTATGTCCCATGGAATTTTTCGATTGTATTATATCATGGTATAAACTATCTGATTCAGTTTCATAGAATAGTGATTTTCAACAAAAAAAAAAAACATTGGATAAGGTCTAACGTGTGAACCTCTCGAAGAAAGTCATCATATTATGAAAACTTATCTGGATTTAACTCTTGGGAGTGTGGAACAAGTGATCTTCAAATAAAATTACTACACATGAGAATGGTTATAATTAATAATAAAGTTAAATATATTTGTTTTTCTGAATCGAAAATTAGATTTAGCTCATTTTCAAAACCTTGGTCCAATTTAGTTTCTCAATTTTAGAAATATATGAATTTAATCATTTTAACTAAATTTTCTTAAATTTATTTGTCAAATATATTTCGTAATAATATTTAAATTGTATATATTGTTTGATATGGTTATCCTTTAATATTAGTTTAAAAAACGCATTTAAAATTTTAAATAAATTTAACAAAATTTGATTAAAATGATTAAATTTAGACACTTCTAAAATTAAGAGACCAAGCTATTACAAAGTTTCAAATAGGAACTAATTTCAAGTTTAATGGAAGAGAAAAAAAAACATATTTAATCTTTAATAACAAATTTAACACATTTTAAATATTCTTAAGTATGGCTCCTTAAATAAAAAATAGGATAAAATAACAATTTAAAAAAATAGTAAGTCAAAAACGTATTTCATAAAGTGGTGTTATAATTTATATCTAATCAGTGTTTATGTTAAGGTATACCTATCAACTGTAACCTCCCAAAATTTCAAACTTGATAATTCATAATTTATATAGTGTAACATTACATTTACGGTAACATTCCGTAATCTCACTCTTAAAAATTCATAGTTGATATGTGTCTATGTTTTAAACTCATATTTCAACTAGAAAATTATAACTT